ACTCAAGTTGTAGACTTTGCGCATGTGTCTAGAGTATATGGCCTCTGAAATTTTGCGACCCTTGCAGGCAGTTTTTATGAACAAATCCCGCGCCATCCAGCACTGGGTCGACCGACTCGGACTAGATCGACAGGCTGCTTTGACCAAATGGGATGAGCAGGTCAAGGTAGCCAAGTACAGCAACAACAACGGACCGGTCGGGCAGACGTTGCAGATTCCAGTCAAAGTATGAGTTCTTGATTTTGGAAGATGCTGTCATTGATGAAAAGTCACGTGAGCTTGAGCACAAGCGGGTCAAGCGCAATGAGGAGGTTCAGGACTTGATGGAGGAGGGGCTGAAGGGCCGAGCTGCCACCGCGGAGGCCATTGCTGAGTACGGGCTTTCGGGCCTGGACAATCCAGACATGGTTGGCAACATCTTCGGCCGTGCAGCCAGCATTGCTTTGCCAACAGCCTCATCCGCTGCTTCATCTGCTTCCGATGATGCAGCAAAGAAGGTGCCCAAGAACTTTGACGCGGCAAGTGAGAGATTGGCCTTGAAGGCCAGGATGTCCCAGGCTGTGGACAAGGAAGCAAGTGCTCTCATGAGTGCGTTGGATGAGGCGGAAGGGAGCATGGATGATGCCTTTCACGAAGCCCTGCTGTCCCCCAATACGCCCAGCAGTGAGATGGAGGCCATGAAGCTTTTGCGAGGCCGCTATGCTGTTGGAAAAGCAATTCTTGGAGGTTTCGAGCCGGGCAAGGATGCCAATGACTCAGCCATGGCCGCTGAAGAGGATGTGTCAGCGTATGAGGCAGCCATCAAGGAGAACCCTGAGGCACAGATGCCGGACGTGTTCAAAAGTGTGCAGCCGTTGCGGCATGTTTGGGGTGTGCTGGAGAGAGAGCTCAAGGGCATGTCCACACATGCAGAGAAGAAGAACATCGACAATCAGTTCAAGCCGGTTCTGAATATGTTGGCAATCATGAAGACTTCTTTGAAGTCTGCAGCAGACAAGCTCAAGAAGTTTAGCAAAGACCGGCAAGCGCGAGAGGAAAAAATGAAGCGGCAAGCAGATCAGCAGGCCCTGAAGCAGCTCAAGGCCGACAGCAAAAAAAGAGAGGCCGAAGAAAAAAAGATGAACAAAGCTGCAGAAAAACAAGGGCGAGTCGAGAACATCTTCGGCATTGATTTTTGCAAGTTGGGTTGCCGAGCCATGCTGCCGCGTGACCCAAGGGATGAGAAAATCACGGGCCTCGACTTCACGAAACCCTTCGCTTTGAAGTCCGATTCCCCTGTGTGTAGCAAGCTGCATAGTGTCCTTGGAGATGCTCGCGTGGTCTCATGCCTTGACAGCTTTTACAATGGCTTTCCAGGGAGTGTGGCGGCGTTGAAGGGATCCAAAAGATTCACAACCCCGGTGAAGAATTCCATTGCGCTGCGCTCTTCCATCTTGGACCAGCTGTCCATCGCTGATTTGCATCCAGGCTGCGCTGCTTGTTTAGTCTTTAGCTTGTTGGGTTTCTGAGGTTGTGAGTGTGGATCTTCATGGCTTTTGGTTCTGAGTGCTTTAAGCTGTGCCTGTCCCGAAGGTGATGACGCTGATGCTGCTACCACGGCTGCTCTCAACGGAGTTTATGCGTGGGGATATGGCGAAGATATGCTCAACCATGGCTTGGATGTTTGCCAGCTTCCTAGCTTGCGCTTGCAAACTGCAGGCAACAGGTGGGTGGTCATGTTTCCGATTGACGGCCTTGTGTCCTACCTCCGCTCATGCAACCAGGGGCAAGACGTCAGCTACGCGCAGGTCATGGACTTTATCCAGCAGGTTCAACCCAACCAGATGGCCGCCTACTTGAAGATGAATCCAGATGGAGTTTGTCATGGCCTGTTGATGAAAGGCAGCCTTGCCTACGTGCCTCCAGGATGGGTGTTGGCGGAAAAGGCGTGGCCTCTTGTTGTGTTCATTTCAGAATCCTTGACTGCTAGTACTTAGGCAATTCCTCCAAAATTTTCTCCAGTGTTCACTCATCGTTTGAGCTTGGCAGGTGATCAACTTGAGATGTGTCTTCGGCCTCCGAGTGCAGTTTCTGCCGGACCTCACGGTGCAGGACAGGAACCTGGAAGTTCTTGCTCGATGGGCTCAATCCTCTGCGTCATCGGGATCTTCTGGCGCAGGCCTGGGCTTTCTCTACCACAAGGCTGCTCAAGCTCGGGAGCAAGCAGCCGCTTTGCAAGCTCTCATCCAGTTACAGGAGGCAGAGGGCAAGCGCCGTGAGCAGGAAGCCAAGGACCACGACGACGAAGCCGAGAAGAAAGCGTTGGCCGACAAGGAGGCTGCTGAACTTCGTGAGCAGGAAGCCAAGGAGAAGGGGGAGGCGGAGAAGAATATGTTGGCCAATGCGGAGGCTGCCAA